TCTCTGTATTTCTCAACTTTTCATTTCAAAAATACACAAAATGGAGAACAGTGTTAACTACAATAATTAACGTTTGGCCAATCTTGTTTCATCTATACTCTGCACTCCCCCTATAAACAGAATTTTTAAAAGCAAATTCTAGACATCCTATCATTCCATTCATAAAATCTTCAATACATACCTCTAACAGTGGTTCTCAACCTTCCTAATGCCGCGACCCTTTAATATAGTTCCTCATGTTGTGGTGACCCCCAACCATAAAATTATTTTCGTTGCTACTTCATAACTGTAAGTTTGCTACTGTTATGAATCGTAATGTAAATATCTGATATGCAGGATGTATTTTCATTGTTCGCGACCCGCAGGTTGAGAACCACTGCAGAGAACTTTATACATAAACAGAATGTCATTATCGATACCTAAGAAAGTGGACATCTTCAATGTCACTGAATATATTAGGAGTTCTGGAGGGAGGAGTAACAATACCTGCTTTCTGCTTTAACAGGATGGCTCTGTGTTAGAGCTGGCATCCAGGCAGGAGTTGGCAAGAGTGGCGGGGAGACCTGTGACAGGCGTAAGGGGGCAAAGAGAAGGCTAGGCCTGGGCATTCAGCAGTGACGTTGTGAGAAGTGTTAGGATTGGCAACATTTTGAAGTTTGAGCTGGTGAGAGAAAGGGAAGAGTTAGAAATGACCTGAAGTCATTTTGCCTGGGCAGATGGAATAATGGGGTTGCCATTTAGTGAGATGAAGAAAGTGTAGGGAAAACAAGGTTGGGAATGAAAGTTTCAGGTCAATGTGGGTAAGTTTAAGGGAGACGCTGAGGAGGTAGCGGGTACACAGATCAGGAGCCCACGAGAAGGCCGGGCTGCAGTGAGGAGGAGGCACTGAAAGCCAGGAGGCTGGTGGGTCACCTGGTACAGCATCCAGGGTGAGCGAAGACTGAGGAGAAAATAGCCCTGAGCACCCAAACCTTTAGGACTGAAAAGGTAGGGCAGGCCCTCACACAAAAAACAGCTACCAGGGATGTAAGAGCCAGGAGCAGCAGAACTCAAAGGTTCCCTCACCTTTCCTTCCTTGATCAGGCGTTTGCACTGAAAGAAGTACCAATAAGGGGTGTTTCTTTGGCCCTGCCATGATTTTGGCTCCAGCTCCCTTTCATCATCTTCTTCATCTTGCTCCCTGAGCCGGAGGTTATACAGCTGGGCCGTCGATTTGCGGAACATTATCCGGGAGGAGTATTTATCGGAGAGAGTCCCAAAACTCTCTTCCTCCTCTTCCTCCTGGGTGGCCATGGGGCTGGGCTGGCGTGGGTCAGAGCTGAGGCTGCGAATGTTCTTCTGGCTCTCCTGGCTGAGGGGCAGCTGAGAGAGGGAGCTGCTGAAGGCTGCTGGTATTGGCCCAGTCAGCCCCATGGACCTCAGCCATGCGGGCCCTTCCCTACCTCCTGCCCACCTGACTCTGAGAGGGTCAAGGTGTTGCAGGATGGACAGTCCCAGGGAGCGGGGGCTGGAGAAGAGCCGGGCAAGTCTCACCAGGTCCATCTCTGGCTTTTACCTCCAGGGCCTGGCATAGGTCAGAAAAACAATCAAGTCAACTCAGGTTCATAACCCAAAAAGGCAGAAAGAAGACAGAGAAGTGGTTACAAGCATGAGCCCTGAGGTTAGAAAGCCTAGGTTCTGCCAAACAACCATCCATGAGTCCCTGGGCACTCACTGCTCTGGCATCAGTCTCCTCACCTGTAAACTGGGGTTAACGATAACGTCACCCACATAGCACTGTTTGAATGAGGTCTCAGATACATAGCGTGCAGCACAGTTTTGGCACAGTAGGCACTCAACAGATATAAGCTAGTGATATTATCAAGCTACTAGTGGCCCGGTGCACAAATTCGTACACATTGAACGGAAATTAGTTTGAAGAAATATTATAATACCGCTATTCGCCCTTTCTCCATAATAAAAGTGTCAAGATCGACAATGAGATGGAAACACACGCATGTGATTGGCACCAGCAAGAGCTTTATGTCTATAATAAAAGTGTAATATGCTAATTAGACCAGACGACCTTCTGGACAAAGCCCAGAGGCGGGGGCTGAGGCAGAGGTGGCCGGCGCGGCGTAGGGGGCCAAGGAATCCGCAGCAGCAGCCGGGGGGCCAAGCCCCTTGCACGAATTTCATGCGTCAGGCCTCTAGTATATAAAGTTGCTTAATTAGACCTGCTTTCTGATGTAGCTAAACTTTTTCCAGCCCAGTGAAGCACCCCAACTTCTTTCAGGTAATTATCAGCAACACAGCAGTAAATATCAACACAAAGCAGATTACTACTGTAGATCACGCAGGGAGAACAAAGTGTAAAATATTTAACGGCAGCAGTGACTGACTATATTCTGCGCAGTGAGAAAACCTGAAGTCATTTTCAAGGCCCACCAGTTCTTCTTTTCAATCAGGTCAAGTTTCTAAGCTTTCTAAAACTCTGTTTTTCAGCTAATGAAAAGAAAATAGGATTCCACCGAGTCTCCTATCTACCTACTCCAGGACTTCTGTGAGGATCAAATGAGATGAGGCACGGGAAAACGTTTCACAGACATTTGGTTAAAGTGTGAAATGTTTGCACCTGGCTATAAAGCAAGCCGTGTCCCTGAGCTGAAGAAACCGCAAGGAGGCTAGTCGCTAGGGAGAGGAAGCTGGGCGTTGCTACGTGACGTCATTACCCAGACGGTGGGACACTTAGCATATCAGCTTTTTATAGATAGAGATGATCTAAGAGCACAGGTGCTGAAATGAGAGCTGAGTTTGACACCTGAACAGAGTTGTGTGACTGTAACCATTACTTGACCTTTCTGTGCCTCAATTTCTTCAGCTGCAAGATGAGGATAATCCCACTCACCTTACCACAAGGTTATAAAGATTAAATGAGATGGCTTTAGCACAATGTCTAGCATTTAATAAATGTTCAAAAATTACAGCTATCATTTATTATTGGGGGGGGAAATGTTGGTATTTTGGGCCTATGCCCAGGAAAGCTAATTCAAGCACTTCTTTTCTGCAAAAAGTTGTGGACAAATGGGCTAGTTGTGGACCAAAGTGCTGTCCAATATGGTAGCCACTGGCCACATGCGGCTACTGAACACATGAAACATGGCTAATCTGAATGAAGATGAGCCAGAGGTATAAAATACACACCAGATTTCAAAGACTTTGTACCAAAAAAATGTAAAATACACAATTATTTTACAAGATGAAATGTTAATCTTTTAGATGCACTGGGCTAAAGAAATGTTAACAGTAATTTCACAATTTCTTTTTACTTTCTTTAATGTGGCTACTTGAACATTTAAAATTACATATGCGCTCACACTATATTGTTATTGGACAGTACGAGGCTAGAGGTCCTGCTCTGCATACTTGAAACTCTTTCATAAAAAATATCAAAATAACCAGCATGAAAAAATGTTAAGGCCTAGTTATATCAGATGACCATTGGAAAGACGTCAGAGGTGATGGCAGATTGAACAGATTCATAACTGAGGCCCAGGATGGGGAGGGACTGGCTGGGGGCCCTGCAGCAGAGCTGTGGGCCGGACTGGTCAGCTTCCCAACTGGGCTGACTTTGAGCCCCCGGCTCAACCCTGGCGGCCGCACTCACTGCCCCTCTGGCCTGTCCCCCTGGGATCCCCGGCTCCTGTGAGGGTCAAATCGGACAACCTCTCTTGACCAGCACCCTACTGACACCAGTGCAGAGGACCTTTATCATTCCGTGTCTGCTGACGCCTGAAACTCAATAAAAACAAATGTGAAGCCCTAGCCGGTTTGGCTCAGTGGATAGAGCGTTGGCCTACGGACTGAAGGGTCCCAGGTTCGATTCCGGTCAAGGGCATGTACCTTGGTTGGGCACATCCCCAGTATGGGGAGTGCAGGAGGCAGCTGATCGATGTTTCTCTCTCATCGATGTTTCTAACTATCTCTCTCCCTTCCTCTCTGTAAAAAATAAATAAAATATATTTAAAAAAATGTGAACACATATGTAATTTTAAATTTTCAAACAGCCACATTAAATAAAGTGTTTACCTGCATTAAATGAAATATATGGGTTTACAAAAAATATATCGAAAGAGGTATGAAATGTTTTAAAAACAAACTTGTCTGTAGTAGTATATATGCTTCTTTTCAACATACTAAATAACAAGACCCTGTCATGTCAAAGAGCGGTGATGGAAATAGCTTGCAGGTGGTAGCTGCAGATACTCTGTCATTTCCACTCGTCCCCACCTGACACCACCTGACTTGGTTTTGGGCTGACACTGCACGTCCGTCAGGGAAGGAAACGCTGCTTCCGGCAGAGACGATGAAGGTGTAATTTTCTTCCAGCCCAAGTCCATGACCCTGCCAGGCGAATACCTCCTGAGTTAGAGATACGCCGCCGCTGTCCTCCCTCGGAGGAGCCCACACCCCCCGGGGCCGCAGGCCACCCCGACCCCTCCACGCGGGCCGTTAGATCCCCGGTTTCCTCGCCGGACGCCCCCGGCTCAACCGGGCCTGTTCCGGTCCGGATCCCGGGCTCCAGTGAGGGTCAAATAGGAACTCGCTCTGAGTCCGGCCCCAGGAACCTG